AGTTATTGTAACGTCGGATAAAAGTGCTTCCTTAAAGGAACATCAAACTGAAATTATAAACACACTGATAACTATAGTCAAATGGCTATCAGACAATAATTTACAAATCAACTTGGACAAAACTAATTTAATGAATTTTAATAATTATAAAAATAAAACAGTTGACATTAAATTTAATGATAAAATAATAAAATTTTTTGATGATGCTATTCCTATTTTTATTAATGAACAAATTTTTAAATTCCAGCATTCCTCCGAAAAAATGTTGAAAATTAACCCGCACATGGCTTTATATTTAATTCGTTTTTGTGCGTTCGCCCCAAAATTTATATATTTTTTACGAAGCACTCATTTTTGGCTTTTTCCAGGACAGCTGGCAATTATTGACAATTCGCTCAGAGAGACACTCTCCAAAATTTTAAACTGTTCATTTTCAGATAACGCTTGGAAGCAGGCCTCTCTCCCTGTTCGTTTCGGAGGTCTAGGTACTCGTCATATTTCCCATATTGCCCTTCCCGCTTTTCTATCTTCTGCATATGGTACAGCCGAGCTCTTTAGTAAAATACTATGCCCGTCTTTGGGTGTAGTGGAGTTGGCTCACCTTGCAGAGGCTAGAAACGCTTGGTCTAGGGCATGCCCGGGAGTGGATCCACCAACCTCTCTATCTTCTCAGAGACAGTGGGACGAGCCGCTCTGTTTGCGTTTTCAGAGTGATCTTTTAGCTTCTTCTGAAAACGCCACTGAGCGTGCTCGACTACTAGCGGTCTTTCAGGCAGAGTCTGGCTACTGGCTGCAAGCTTTACCTTCAGCCAGTATCGGGACTTTGCTTGACAAGAGCACTCTGTCTCTGGCAATATCGCTTCGACTTGGCGTCAAGACGAATCATCCCCACCGTTGTCGTTGCGGTGCTCGCGTCGGTGAGTTGGGTCACCATGGTCTTTCATGCCAAATGAGCGCTGGCCGAGTCTCCCGCCACGCCTGCATCAATGACGTCATCCGCAGAGCTCTTGTCGCAGTCAACGTGCCAGCGGTCCTTGAGCCTAGCGGCATCTTTCGTGACGATGGCAAGAGACCTGACGGAATGACGCTCATTCCGTGGAAGCAGGGTCGCCCTCTTGTGTGGGACGCAACTTGCGCGGATACGCTTGCTCCGTGCCACACAGAGAGCACCTCCCTTGCTGCGGGTGCGGCGGCGGACTCTGCTGAATGCTCTAAACGGCGCAAATATTCAGCTCTCAATGAGAACTATATATTTGTGCCGTTTGGTGTTGAGACCATGGGCCCATGGGGTCCAAGTGCTCGTTCCTTTTTTAGGGAAATATCAAAGAGACTCACCGAAGTTACTGGTGATCAAAAGGCTGGCAGCTATCTTGGTCAACGGATCAGCCTTGCCATTCAACGTGGCAATGCTGCCAGCCTATTGGGCACCATCCCTGACGGCGGCGATGGGGGTGACTTATTTTTTATTTTGTAAATAGGATGTTATTTATAAATAGGTTTAGGAAATTTGTATTTAAATATTGTTTATTTCTGTACATATATAATTAAAAAATAATTCGACATGTAAATAATACGATTTTCCTAGGATTAATAATAGAACCATGTTTAAATTGGTAGGAACATATAAATAAAATTAGCAATAAAATAAGTTCGTTTGTCTTTGCTCTGCATAAATTATCAAAAGTTGCAAATAAAGCCACAGCTATTACAGCTTATTATGCTTATGTGGAAACGATATTAAGATACGGTCTTATAGTCTGGGGAAATGGCACGGACATTAAAAGAGTGTTTGTATGCCAAAAAAGGTGTATACGGGCAATTTGTAATATAGCCCCGGATGTTTCTTGTAGAACATATTTTAAGGACCTAAATATTTTAACTTTGACTTCTTTGTACATTCTCGAAGTAGCAACTTTTGTAAAGCAGCACTACCATTTGTATACAGTCGCAAAAGATGTAACAGATCGAAATCTGAGGTATCCTAATAAAATAAAAATGGACATAGTTCCGAAAACAAAGCGATTCCAAACAAATGCACCGGCGATGGCAATTAAAATTTATAATCAAATTCCAGAAGAAATTAAAAGCCAAACCTTTAATAAGTTCAAGTCAAAACTTTGTAAGTGGTTAAATGAAAACACGTTTTACAGTATGGTTGAGTTCATGAATTATGGTAGGATTTGATGCATGGGTTAAAGACATGCTTAATGGGTTTAAATATAACATTTAATTCTGATTCTTTACAAGACCATTCTAATTATGACATTCAGATAATTATGGACATGATAAATTGACGACATCGAATAATTAAAATATTATAATAAGAATTATTGACATTTATATAGGTAATTAATATAGGTAATTTAATAGAAAAATTTGCATGTTATCTTTATAATCTATCTAAATAGGTTAAGAGACAACTTAGATGAAATGTAACACCATTATTTGTACCCTATTTAATGCAAGTAAATTGAATTGAAGAAAATACATTTTTTTACAATAGATGTCGCTAGGTGCGCTTAAATGTGATTCATGTAAGTTGATTTTTCTGAGAGATAAACTTTTTAATGTAATATAATTGTCATGGTTATGTACGATAGCGCAATAAATAAATATTGTATTCAACAACATAAATGATAGTACTTTTATACTGATACATTAAAGCAAATCGTGCAAATATTCCTAACCGTCTCTTTTTTTATAAAAAATAGACTTGCAACGAATAGTATATTCGGCAGTATACCGAATACCGAATATTCGGCGAGGCCCCTGACCGAATAGGCGAAAGTATTCGGCTGGATTTTAGCGCCAAAAACTTGTACAGACGTGATTGTTTCGCGCTCCTTTGTTTTGTTCTAATCTGCCGTCCTCAAGCTAAAATACGGCTAAATGACAAAACCAACTTTTGAGATATGGCCAAAAACGGCGCGTAAACTTTAAATTATTGCTATTATGTAACCATTCATCACATGAGTGAATGAATTAAAAACTGTTAACTTGTTTAATACAGAAAATGATTAAATTATGTACCTGTTTTATGTACCAATGACTACTTAATAAATGATTATAAAAGAAATGAGAACCTTACCCTTCTAAATTTTGATTACCACAATAATTCAAATACATAGAATCGTGCATTTTTCCAATTCAGAAGATGTTTTTTTTTTATTTATTTATTTGTTTTCAAAAAAAGTTACAAATTTTATGCTAAGTCTGCCAAACTGCAACACAGTTTGTCGGATTATGTACCTGTGTTATGTACCAATGACTACTTAAATGATTGTTTAACAGAAATGAAAATATGAATATATACGTAATTTATCGATTTTAATTTTTCATTTTACCAATTATTTCTCTATGACAAAATATATTATTTAAGTATTCGGTATTCGGCCGAATAATATGTAGATATTCGGTATTCGGTTGAATATAATAAAAGCAGCCGTATAGGCCGAATACCGAATAGTAACCGAATATTCGTTGCAAGTCTAATAAAAATGTCTCGCCGTGCTCTCAGTTTACCGCAGAAATATCTGGTAAGCAAGGGTCTTACACTCGTATTTGTATACAAGTAATTTTACTTGTTGGTAAAGAATTTCTTAATAAATTCATTACTTGTGACTAGAATTTTTCAATAGAAAATATACAAACTGTATACATATAATTCTGTCAGCAAACTGTTGCACAGTTCGGCAGAATAGAAATGAGTGTTGAACTTACTATTTATGAATATTTAAATAAAAAAATAATACTTTTACACATGAGTAATATTATGTTGCTTACTTATGCAAATTCTTCAGTGGAGTTTTACTTATTCATACAGAATTTTATTTGCAACTTCTTCGAGTGGGTTGTCGGAAATTGTCCAAAAAATTTCATTATTTCAGATTACAATGATGAAAGCACAAAACAAATAAAAATAAATGTCAATCTTGTTGGGAGATTTACAGAATCTGAGTAATTTATTCACCTGGCAACGAAAAAGGTGACTATTACCCATTACAAGGCTAAGAATTCTTATTTTGGTAGTTTTTACTTTGATCAATTTCTTAAGTATGAAATGAAAAATGTTGCTTAAGTAATTTCTTGTGCTAAAGTAATTACTTTTACAACGTTATACTTGTCTATAAATACGAGTGTAAGATTTGGGTTGTTTGAAAATGGAACAATCTAAAATCACATCAAACAATTCTTTGTTAGGGCACATGAGTAAAAAACGTACGGGCGTTTTTTTTACTCATGTGGTAAGGGCGATTTAGAGCATATTTAATTTAAGAGTCCGTGTATGACCGTTATTATTGATGTAAAAGTACTGACATAAAATGTTTCCTACTAATAAAAGACACTACATCCATCTATATCCATACAAAGAGAGTCTTTTAATAGATGTTTGCTGCCTTTTGTAATCAAAACCGTCTACTTAGATTACATTGTATAACAACGCTGTGGAAGATTGTCATATCAGTAAAAAGTGTAACTTTTTTCATTTCACTACCTTTATATACTAATTCCGAAATATCGTCACACTGAAATTCTTACTACATTAAACACACCAGTAATAATAAATAAAACTGTCTTTTGTAGTTTGCTTCTTTAATATATTAATAATACTCCTTGTGTTGGTCTTGCTTGGGATAAGAAGTTATTATATTTATTTACGATCCACCCTTGTTAGCCAAATATTAGATAAATTTATTATATTCTTATTTTAACCATTTAATAATTGTTAGATTTATAAATAAATCTAAACGCGGTCCGGGCATCAGACGGGATTCGAATCCGCACCTTCTGCTATCCGGGCGGACACACTAACCAATTATACCATTGATAATATTATGCGCTGCTTTGCATCCTGAAATACTAGAGGAAATTCGACACGACCCATTTGAAGCGGAACGTGCGTGTTCGGAATTTCATCTGATGCCTGGACCGAGTGGTTTTTTTCTTTATAATAAGTACCTAAGTTTCATTTGTAACAATGAGTCCGTTATTCTTTTCAGGATGTACCCGTGGAGCAACTAGAGAAACTAAAGCTTGGTAAGTTTAAATCAGTTTTACATGTAAAACGTAGTGTTGAACATATTTTCAATTCAATTCATTTATTCCATTAAACAATATAATTGTGTTGGAAATAATATTAATATAAAATAAAAGCAGACACATAAAATAATAAACCAAATTATATTTTTTTATGTCAAATTGGATTATTATTAATTGTAATAAAAATAATACAAAAATCACTATGTCATATTGGACAAAATTCATATAAAAATAAATAAATAAACATGTCAACCTAATCCTGTCTCATAAATTCGTCAACACTGTAATAACATTTCTTCAACAACAAGTCCCTCACTTTGTTTTGAAAAGATTTGTAGTCAATAATCGATTTCAAACTGATTGGAAGCCTAATAAAAATTTTGACCGCCTGGTACCTATAGCCATGTTTAACAACATTAAGTTTAGGTTCGATCAGATGTGGTAGATGCTTTCTGCGTGTTTTCAAATGCCTTTCCCTGTTTATTGGCGTTTCAAAAGTTTCAGATTTTTTTGCTAAGTTGCACAAAACTGTTAATATACAGGTGGTCCAATTAGTGACATCAACATTTTTTTTTATTTACTCGCACCTGTTCGCATTTTAAATCTTATTGGTGAAACCGAAATTATTGTAAAATTGCTTATTACTTATGCTTAGTACTTCATCAGCCTATTTTTGTTGTATATGGCCTTCGAAGGGGGATAGGCTAAAAATCATTAAAACATGATTAAAAATTATTTTATCTACTTTTTAGCGTTGTTATGGTAAATTAAACTTAAAAATGTAATTTCAAATTAAATTTAATTGAAATTCCTGTAAAATAACTTACAGAATTTTCTTTCAATTATTTTATGAAGTATTTTTTTTATGATTTTTGGTAGTTTAGAAGCTTGCGGAGTTTTTAAACCTAGCCAGAAGCTATAGAAACTCCTTTTTGTATTTTTAAATTTAAGTTGGATGTTTGAGTAAATCCTACTAAAAACTAAAGTTCCAACTTTCAAGGTTTTTGGAGTAACTTTAAGTAATTTCAGAAAACTGAGTTATTTTTTTTATTAAAACAACATTCAAATCAATTATGTCACAAAAAAAAGACTCCAAAATACCTACTACGAAAAAAACGAATTTTTAAAACCTCGCTGGCAGAAATCATTAAAAATACGCAAAAAGAATTATAACTCGAAAAAACTAAGAAAAACCGCGGAACACACACGGGGTATTTTCGGATATCCCCAGGTGCGAGGAACTAAAAAAAAATTGTTGACGTCACTAATTGGACCACCCTATATAAAAACAAGGGATGCTTAACATTTTCAATTTCACGAAATATTCTCTACATGATTCCCATTGTGGAATACGGACTACAGTTCTAATAGCTCTTTTTTGTAACACAAAAGCTCTCTGTAATAAATAAATGTAATAATATCTTTTATATGAATTGCCCCAAAACCTAATACTATACCGCAAATGAGACTCAACTAGTGCATAATATACTATTTTTAGTTGCTCTACTGTAATATCGTCACGTAAGCTTCTTAAACAATAACAGGCTGAACTAATTTTTTTCTCAATTTTCTCCAATTCTAGCTTCCAGTTGAGGTATGAGTTGATATTATTCCTAAAAACTTTAGTACTTCTACTAGATTTATATTTTTTTAAGTTTAGGTTTAAAGTAATGTTCAAATTTTCTTTAGTTCTTGCCGTTGTACAAAATAACATTATATTGGTTTTGTCAAAATTTAAAATAAGGCCATTTGCATCAAAACAATTACTAAATACCGATAGAGCCTGTTTAGTTTTTCGACTTAGATCTTCGCTATTGTTGGCTGAAATAACTGCACTAGTGTCGTCTGCAACAGAATATTTTTTATGTCATTAATATGTATTATCACAAATGTAATTATCTAAGTCGTTAAATATCATCGTGTAATGTCGTTACATAACTAGCTATGTTAATATTCTACCTACTGCTGGGGCACAAGTCTAACATAATCTTTTAATAACTTCGATGAATAAATTCCGCGCTACTCCCGCAATTTATTTAGTCCCAAAATAAGCAAAGCTTATATACTTAATTACGGAAAAAGCCATTAGGAGCAAACATATTGGATAAATGACAATTGTCGTCATCTTATAAAAAAAATCGTAACTATCGGACCCATTTCAGCCAGGACTTAGGGCTCCCACGCAAAACTGCGATGAGAAGCGACGTCGCATCGCAGGAACTTAAGATGCGACTTGCTGCGACACGAATTCGCGCGGCAAAGGTTTGATTAGTCAGATTTGTCGTATTCGAACGTACCGCAATGACAATCGCGCCGTAAAACACGGCCGGGTTTATAAAACGCTTCTGTTTTTAAATTAACTAAATCTACAATCAGCTTATCAAATAACTTCTGGGTGCAGGTAAGAATCAGTTATTGTACGGAAACAATGTAGCGACAAATAGTAATCGGTACATCGTTTCCAGTTTTCCGAAGATAGGCTTATTGTATTCCGAATCCTATTATTTTACTCCCAGTTGGTTTAAGAGACTAACTCGTAATGTCATAAAATTGTATCTCATATAAAAATACAAGGGGTTTAATCATGGAAAAATCTATCTTTCTATTATACTGCGTTACCACGTAGTACTCAGAACAGTACCCTTAGCATGAACCAATATCGTATTCGTAACGTTTGCCAGTCCAAAATGTCATTGTCAAATGTGTACTGATTTTTAGTTCTCATTACGTGCTTTCTGGCGCTGCTGTTCAAGTTTCCGTAAAAATTTGGAATTCGAATTCGATATTGGTTCGTGCTAAGGGTACAGTAACCCTAGCACGAACCATTATCCAACTTGAATAATTTGCGAGTACGAAATGTCATTGTCAAATGCGTACTGATTTTTAGTTCTCGTTACGTACTTTGTGGCGCTGCTGTTCAAGTTTTCCATACGAAATTTGACATTGACATTAAGCATTCGCAAACTATTCAAATTCGATATTGGTTCGTGCTAAGGGTACAGTTCTGAGCGAGCAAACATTGTTCTCCCGGTAAATGGAATGCTCAAAACTATGTTGCGTTGTTTACAGTCATGACTAAGGAAGAGAAAATTCGATACTTTAGTCCAATCAAACACCGCTGTACGAAATTGTTCGCTCGCTCTTATGTTTCTATTTACAGAGCGAGCAAATGATTGCTCCTTCAGAATTGTTTTGAGCTTAAGTAGAAACACATCATTAAGCATTCATTTTTGTGTAAATTTTGGTTAGGGTACGACAAGGCAGTCATATTCTTAAAATGAAAGACTCTTAATAAATAAAGAACAAAAAAAATATACATTCATTTAAAGAAATTTCTAAAATGAGTAAGCATTTTAGAATATTTTACTCGCAACAATATGGGTTGTGTGGGAGATCTCTTTTCAATGTAATCTTCATTGGCTTTGTATTTGTACATTAAATTACGTTTTTATTTAAGGTTTACTTTTGTTCAATACAATAGGTTTAAAAGGTAACAGTTTCTCAAAGTAGTCTTTCAAAATATTATGGTATTCAATTGATCAAATTAGCATAAGTACAACTTAGTTTGAAAGCGCGATTAGATTTGGTGGAAAGTAGCAACAAAGCTTTAATAAAGTAAAAGTGAATGAACTAGGATAAAGCAGAACGTGAGATAAAATAAGCGAAAGTATCAAAATTGAGTTTAAATTCCGGAATAGACTTTATTGAACGAAATAATATTTTTAATGAAAAATATTATTTAAGCAGTTTCATTTCTCTGCTTTTAAAATCCAAAGTTTATGAATAATTTTACTTAAATAAATTTAAAAATCCACGGTTATCAGGCAGCAGACGGGACTCGAATCCGCACCCTCCGCTGTCCGGGAGGATGCACTAACCATTATGCTATTTGTTATTTATTGGCCCTATTTGTCTAAGTCGAATTTTCTCTAGTATTTCTTAGGCTGCAAGGCAGCGTCATCTCTTCGCATTGTAGGTAACCCACAATGTCAAATGTATCCTTTCGAGTAATAAACACTTCAAAGCAGAAATAGCAATTATAGTTAAATTTATTTGTTTCTTAGGTATTCACGCACATCACTCATTAAATAAAACTAGTTTAATGTACTAAATTTATTTATTTATTGACGTTTCGCAGCCTTTTCAGGTCTGAATCGTCAGAATAATGATTTTATATTTACTTTGTCGAGCTACCTTCGAAAGACTTTTATTGCGCGTTCGGATATTTCATTGGAAGATATGTAAAACTTTACTGTCTATGTATGAATTTATTAGCTGATTTAGTTAATAAAGTACTTTATTTAATTTTTTTTTTGTAATTTTGATAGTTATATTTATTTTTTATTTTTTAGGCATTTAACTGTTAAATGTTTTAATCATAAGAAAACTTTACTAGAAAAAAATCTCCGCTTTCCAGTCAGATGTACTGACTAAAACATTTCAAAAGTATTCTTAAAATACCTAGAATTCGCATAGGCATAGATATGACGTGTTAACTATGTATGCAAATCACAGTGTCTACAACAAATTTTTATCGCTTAGTTGTTACATACTTTATTGCTCTAATATATCGTATACCAATAAAACAAGGCACTTTTGGGTGTGATGTGTATTTTGTCGATGTGTCATTTTCTTACTTCGTTTTCAACGATATTAAATACTCGCTTTTCACTTTATGATGACACATGATACATTTACTCATGTTCAAATGTTTTTATTCCAGTTTCTTGTTACTGACGGAAATATCGATTGAATAAAGATATTTCATGTTTCTTAAAAAATGTTTAATCTATACTAATATTATAAAGATAAAATATTTCATTGTTTGTTTGTATTGAATAGGCTCCGAAAATTTGAACCGATTTGAAAAATCCTTCTAAATTTAGAATCCTACAATATCCATGGATGGACATAGGCTATACAGTATATTCAAAGTTAGGGTTCCGTAGGAAAACTTTCGATAATATAACCCAATTTTTAAAAAAAAACAGAAAATCCAGCCGATCGAAGTTATTTATTGTTTTTATTCCTGCGAGTTTCTCTGGTCAACTATAAGTCATTATAAATTATTTTTGATGAAATGAAAATATTGGGAAATAATATTAAAAATATATTTTAGTAACTTAAAACTACGAAATATAATATTTGCTAAAAAAAATATAAAACTTATGTAACTATGACGATGATGAGTTCCATGGTTCTTCATTATCCTCGTCACTTTCAGAGTCCCCAGACACCTCCTACAGAATCATAATTTAAGTTTTCACTGTTTTGGTACCTATGTCACCTCTTGGAAAAAAAGGGGGCGGGTATGAACGGCTAATTAGGTCATAATACTTAAATATAAACTATAATCTTTCTTTATCAATTCATATAATAACCTGGAAGAAACCGGAAATACAACAAAAACCTTTTCAAACTTAAAATTAGGTTGGAAATTTTAAGAATTATTAACTATATTTTCAAACGTCAACTACTGACTCCTTGATTTATATCGACAACAATATTTTGAAAGAAGTAAGCAATTACGCAAATATTTTACTTTTTATCAGATGCTGTCACACTTACGAAACGCGTAAGATACGTGCACTTGAAGCGATGACTAACTTCCAGGTATATAGTACGTATAGTATGAGAGTCGGTCTTACTTTTTGTTTAAATATTGTATTGCATCCATTTTAGTAAAAATTACATCGTCCTAGCGTGATGTTATATAGCCTTTCTCGATAAATGTAATATCGAACACTTTTTTTTTAAAAGGACCAGTTTTTTCTGACAATGAGATTAAAGCGTTGAAAACAAAAAAAACTCTAGCTTTATGATTTATTAGAAGGTTTCATAGCATTCAAAAGTTATTATGAGTGATACAACTGATGAATGTGTACAAACCACTGCGTCACTAGATAGGTTTAATGATAAGGCCATGGACTGATGCTAAGGGGCAAACTTTTTTTAACAGCAAAGCAATGGTCCTTTCGGTACAACGGGCCTTAACTACGCAACAAAATGTTCACTATCAGTTGAATATAATTTCACGTAAGGTTTATAATCATACTAGCGGCCACCCGCGACTTCATCCGCTTTACTTTAGTTTTTTGACATTCACACGGGAACCTAAAATTTTTCCGGGATAAAGTATATTATGTCTCAGTCCAGGTCTTATACCATATTTGTACCAATTTTCACCCATATCCATTCCGTAGTTTTCGCGTGATTGAGTTACAAACATACTAACACACAAACATAAACATTCACATTTATAATATTAAGTGGAATTAAGAAAGTAATTGTTTACAGTACAAGCCTGAGAACAAAAACTGTAGTCTGCACTACAGCGGAGCGAGGGCGGGCCACTAGTGATATTATAAAAAAATTCTAATAATACATTTCCTTTTTTATTATTATTTGAAGCTTTAAATAATTTCTTGCTATAATAATTATTAAAATATCTTTAAATTTAATCATTATAAAATTCAAAAATTCAAAATTCAATATCGTTTATTCAGTCTAGGCTGTTACAAGCACTTGTGAATGTCGAAAAGCTACGCCATCGGTTCGCAAATCTACGGCGGGAGACCTTGTACTGTATATTTCATCTATTCCATAAGTTAGGTACACATTTTATCGGACGATCTTTTCAATTGTTATTTATTGTTTAATTAGATATAGATTTGACTCATCGTCCGGCGGTTTAATTTGATTTAGGATCTATTTACAACTATAATCGTCCTTATAATATGAATTTATTTTCAAATTCTCATAAATAATTATCGTTACTCCTAAAGTTAGCAACAAACTCGTAAGTATTTGTTTGTATTCTGACAGAATAAAGAATACAGCTAGTATTTATACCTATGTATCTAAGTTGGATATCACTGGACTTACTCTGTATAGAGTTATTAGAATATATATTATCTGTGAGGATTACGAGCCTACGCATTTCACCACCTACTGGTATGTTCTCGTAAATATTTATGACTATGTCGACCTACAGCTACCCTGGGCTGAGCTGACCTTCATTAGTTACACTAGACGCTGGCGTCGATAGCTTTCATTATTCAGTATCAATGTCTTTTCATGAGGACTTATTTTTTTTTATAAAACAATTTTCGAGAGATTAAAGTATGCATATGTTTAATAAGGTTTTAATTAACCAAACTTTTAGATTTTTTGTTTAAAGCATTCTTTGGTTACCATCACAACATAACGTTAAAATTCTACAAAATAATTTTCAAGATCGCGGCAGCAGTGTAATATAATTTTCAATGTCCATAGCTTTTCTTACTGCTTTCATTTTTCTTGACGAATTAGTTTTGGAAAGAGTTTTTTTTTAAATCGGTTATATAATATAATATAATTGCTTTCATTCTTGTTTTATTCTTATTGCTTTCAACGTCATTCTTTTGGTATAATATTAAAAGAACGTTCTACCATAAGTTGAAATGTAATTTCCCACACAATTACTGGTAGCAATGAAATTGCTTCTCGATTTAATGTCAGTAATGGATAAAAACCAAGTGAAAGTTGATAAAGAATATTACGGACGGATTAACTGCGAAGAAAAAAAATCTTCCTTAAAATTGTTCTCTTATTAAAATTTCATACTGAATAAACTATAAATCTGTCACGGCTTTGCCCGGCGAAATTTATTTCATCAGGATTAAATAATAACCTAATTCACTCAGGAACAATACTTGTACTTTTCTAATGGAGTACTAGTTTAAAAACGGTTACGTGAACTCTTAAGTAGCTTCTATTCAAAAGACTGACTATTTGGAGTAGTATCATAAGTCATAGCCGATTGTTGAAACATTTTTTTTCGGTCCTATACGTTCAGCCCTACATAGAGGGCTCAGGTATGGTGGGATTACTTCACAAGGTGCAAGGTTGCCTCCCTATGTTATTCTAGTTATTCCGCTGCGTTCGAGTAAATACATAAACCCACGATTGGGCTCCTTTACTATAATGACACGGAACTACTTTCATGCCACAAAATCCGTAATGTAAATTCGGCTTAACTAAAGGTGGTACTTACATGTCATTTGTATGATAGCATAATCAAATATACGTATCTCTACCATTACACAAAAATATTAAGATCAGTACCTTTGTTCATACTCAATGGAAGTTGGCCTTTGCAACTTTAAAATAAATAATAATTTAAAAATAAATAGTTTTGAATTTTTGTGTATAGGTTTAAAAACTTTTGAATTGTTCTTTATCGAGTGTATTTACGACCGACAGCCTGTATATCTCGATTCTGAAGTTCATATAGATTGAGACACGATTTACCCGCGCTACAGGAAAATTTCTTATACTATTATCGTCGTTGGTCCTTTGGTCTATAAATGTGTGTCTGGGATAACCTAAATAAATAATGTAGCCCTGCAATCCGATTGGTATTTACACCACATGTCCATTTGTTCAAATGTCGTTCACAATAATAGCTCCCTCAGGACACAGTGACCTTAGAACAAGTAAGATACCTACCCACTTTAAGTATAGTTGTTATTACTTTTGGATTTCATTGTGATTGCTTGTATCATGATAATTTAATGTGTTAAATGGTAAATGTCATGGGATTTTATACATCCATCATTTTTTTAAATTAGTTTTTTTAAATAAACAAGATATTCGACAGCTTTCTAACTCGAAAGTACCGTAATTAGATATCTACTTACTTACCTTAACCGAACAGGTAAGTCTTCAGCAATAGTATGTGTTATATTGAGCATTAAATGCTTGAGAAATTTCCTCAAATCTATTGAGGTGTAAACTCAAGTGTAAACTTCAAAATTTTAAAATAAAAACTTATTAACAAAAAAATTCAACCGCCGAAAAGTAAAAAATAAAATAAACCTATCCTATAAGCTTTTTATCTTTAGTCAAATTAATATTTGGAGTGGATTAATATATATGAAAAATATTAATGATAATGTCTAAACAATTTCTGTTTGTTTGTTGCAGCAGAGTCCAAGGGCTCCGATCTAAACACCGAACATGTGGAATACCACAGGCTTGGTAATTATTTTATTGTTTATACAATCCCGGCCATCATCTATCGGCCCACTTCGTATTATAAGTTTAACGGTCTTTTGCAAAAATATATGTTAGGTTGAGCAATAATAATATATTTTTAAAACACACGAAAAAGATGGTTAGTAAATATTAGTTTACAACTGCCTGAAAACCTTTTGCTCAATGTCAAATTTATATTTAGCTAGGGACCGTCAAAATTTAAAATGCTAGGTGCCCACGCAGCCTGTGCGTACACGTTTCCGGTGCGTAACGGCTACATCATGTATTTTCCAGACACAAATAAAAAAACCAACCAAGTGCGATTCGGACTCGCGCAACGAGGGTTCCGTACAAACCTGAAATTTCAAAAAATATTTTTTATTATATTATGTACCTAACTAAAAATTTATGGTTTTCGCAATTTTTTCTTTATCTGTACTACAAGAAGTTACTTCGTACTAAACAAGATTCTAAGTTCACGGGACGAGTACCCTGTAGGTTTCGATTCCCGTGCGTGTTTCCATAATTTGCGGAAAATTGCGGCATAAACGGCTGTATCTTTTGATTGCTTTGGCTTAGAAGTTTAATTTTTTCACAGCTCCAAGGGACACTAGACCTGAGTATTAGATATGAATTTCAGTTTGATACCTCCACGCGTTCCTGAGAAAAACGGTCTTGACAGACGGACGGACAGACGGACAACTTAATCCTATAAGGGTTCCTTTTTTTCCTTTTGAGGTACGGAACCCTAAAAAGGTGGACCGGTGGATGTGTCCGGGTGTATATTTTTTTTAACACATACCAATTAGTCTAGCCGAAAAGTAAGCACTGTAGGCATGTGTTATGGGATACTAGAGTAACGGATAGAATACATATACTGATACAAATATGGGTATATTTATATAGAAATACATATTATTAAATATCCATAACTGGAGTACAAATGCTCGTTTTCAACACACAAACATCTGCCCCCACCGGGATTCGAACCCGGGATCTCTCGAGGGACCACTCGGCCACGGAGGTAGTCAAAATACATTACAACTTTAATCAATTTATGTAAATTTATTGGCTATAGTAAGAATGATAAGATTAGGTTACGATTGGCTACTCTAAAAATAAGAAAAATAAATGTAATTTAGGAGAGAAAGCTTCTATAGTTTCGCACTCCATATTCGCTGTCTTAAAATTTTGTAGTATTTAAGTGAGATATGTCGTCCTAAAGTTTAGGTCAAACCAATTTGACACTTCACTATCTACACTTGTTTGTATTATATGAAGATAATCCCGAAATCCCGGGATTAGAACAACCGACCGGGATCGAATCCTCTAGATACACTCCTCTCTCATTATCTCTCACTCTGCCCGTTTCTTGAGTAAAAGTACGCAGTCCTATGGGCCCATATATCCATTTGTCAAAATTTGATACAATATATAATGTATTTGACTATGACATTGACTAATAGTCTTTAACTATACTTATATCCAGTATCAAACAATGCGGCCTTAGCCCACTTCTAAGATTGAATTTTATTTCGCTTATTATACCTATTGAAATGAAATGAAAAGTCATTTATTCAGTCTAGGCTGTTACAAGCACTTGTGAAAGTCAAGAAGCTACGCCATCGGTTCGCAAAACTACGGCGGGAGACCTTGTACTGAGAAGAACCGGCAAGAAACTCAGCAAGGGCTGCTTTTTTCTCCCTGTATTGATATATACAGAGTCGTCAAGTTGAAAAATGACTTCAGACATACTTCTGAAGTCACCTTCCATTACATTATTTAGGGTATAGATATATAGTTACAACAAATTTTATATTTAGTATATATAGGAAGCGGCATTAGATAGGTACCATACTACTGTTACAAAACTGACTCAAACCCATCAAATAAGAAATTACAAGAAACAATATGTCCATGCATTACCATCATTTAGATAATCATTAACTTTATAATAGCCCTTATTCATAAGAGTATTTTTAATCTGAGATTGGTTAGTGGAAGCTCAATCAGATCTTGGGGAACTTTGTTAAACAATGCAATACTACATCCCAGAAATGAACCTCTTGATTTTTGGAGTCTGAAACATGGAACGGCAAGCTTGTTCTTAAATCTCGTGTTAAAGTTATGGGTTTGACTTTTTTTTGCAAATGCGTCATAGTTTCTTCTTACATATATTATATTTTCATAGATGTATTGCGATGCCAGTGTTAAAATATTAATTTCTTTAAATTTTTCTCTAAGAGATTCTCTTGCCTTTAAATTATATATGGCGCGAACAGCTCTCTTTTGCAGTACGAAAATACTTTCTATATTAGCAGCTGAGCCCCACAACAAAAGGCCATGTGACATAACGCTATGAAAGTAACCAAAGTAAACCATTCTTGCCGTTTCCACATCAGTTAGGAGTCTTATTTTTTTAACAGCGAAGGCCGCAGAGCTCAGTCTACTTGATAAGGCAGCAATATGAGGATCCCATTGCAGATGCGAGTCTAAAGTAATACCCAGAAACTTTGTAGAATCCACTAACTCTACAGGCTGGTCATTTATTTTTAAACTAGTATTAACCTGCCTCACATTAGGTAAAGTAAACTTAACACATTTTGTTTTGCTAGAGTTTAGTTTTAAATTATTTACCGTAAACCAGTGAAGGACTTCAGAGAGAGCACAATTTACTTCGTCATAACAATCATTTCCTCTCCTAGCTTTAAACACTAAAGAGGTGTCATCAGCAAATAGTACTGTCTCACACAAATCTCTTGTAAAGTGAGGAAGGTCATTAATATAAATAAGGAAAAGCAATGGGCCCAATATTGAACCCTGGGGCACGCCCATAGAAATGGGTGCTCCTGTAGACTCAGCTTCATTTATAACTACTTTCTGAATCCTAGCAGAAAGATAAGACTGTATCAGACTTAGTGAAATATTTGATACACCATAATGCTTCATTTTATTTAACAATGTTTCATGGCTAACGCAGTCAAACGCCTTAGATAAATCGCAAAAAATGCCAATAGCATCGTGCTTACTCTCCCATATATCAAAAATGTGTTTGAGAAGTGCAGTTCCAGCATCAGTAGTAGTAGTACTTTTGCCTCTAGTGAAACCAAACTGTTTTAAATGAAGTAGCTTATTTATAGAAAAGTGTACTAGTAATTGGTTATAAATTATTTTCTCAAATACTTTACTTAGCGCTGGTAATACAGATATAGGCCTAAAATTGCTGGGATCTGATTTATCACCAGCCTTAAAAAGAGGGATAACTTTAGCACATTTCATTAGATCTGGAAACACTCCCTCATCAATACATTTGTTAAATATAATGGCCAGTTGTGGCGCAATGACAGTGATAATATTAGACAGCTATAATGGACGTACCTTTCTTCACTATCTCCAAATAGGTCTAGAGTTGACTAGGCTTGGGGACTCTGGCCCATATATTCATTAGTGAAACCTATTGTTACTCAGTAGCGGAAATATCTTCGTTAGTGAGATTTCTGGAATTACACATTGTCAATTCTTGTAACAATGTTTACATTAATTTATTGATGCTTTAGCCTAATATTGTGTTGTGTAGCGATTTGTTTCTGTACCTATAATTAAGTTAGACCCGTCAATTCATATGTATTACCCCGTGGGCTATGTAAATGAATGATGTCTGCCAACGTCAAAAAACCCCTGTCTGGAAGTATCGGATTTCTGTCACGCAATATTATTATACAATATTTGGAAAGAATAGATAAATATACATAGATGTACAAAATATTTAAGATTGATTTAAGACATGAATGAAGACAATAGGTTCAGTAGAACTCGAAATATAACAGAGGGTTTTGACGACCATTTTGCTTACACAGACCACGAGATACCTAGGTATTTTGTTGTTGGTGCAGATTCTGTACAGCAAAATGGCGAATTGGTGTCGCGTTTGGAAGAGCATGCTACGGCTGATGCAGATGGTGAAGGGAAACCGCGCGTGCACGCTTCTTCACAACTAGACGTTCCCGCTGAGGGCATCCATCGGGTCCTGGTCCAGGACGGAGCGCACGTGAGCGTACACGAGGCTACCGCCGCGACTACAGCAGCTAGCGAAGAACAGACTACTAAGGTGAGTGCATTCGGAAGAGGGGGGGGGCTTAGAATGAGATCCTTCACGCGCGACCAGAGGCCGAAGTACGAACTTCGACAGCTTCGTAATCTTATTACGTCGTTAAAGTTTCTATGAAAATTAAACAGCGCCCCTACCGCACTTAAGAACTGGCTCCTGCCATACAAAATTTGATGATAACGATACAATATCGGATCTGTCAAAGTTCATGCTGCGTCCTCAGTTCAAATTAGTGGATGCTAACGACAGTAATTGCAGCCAGAACCAATGATTTAACGCGCCTTCCGTAGCATGGAGAAGCTCGAGATAATACATTTTCCGATGACCGGACATTGCGAAAATTACTTAACTTCCACTATCGCAGACCAACAGCACTAACCACTTGTGCCGTCGAGTGCGTCATAATAATAATAAAAAAATATCATTATCCTACCTAGGTTATATACCTATATTTTAGGTTTATTACAGGTGTTCCATGGTGCGGCTAGGCTAGTTCAACCTGGATCTTTGACAACCAATCCTCAGAATGGACACACTGCTGCGAGACGTGCTTTCAATGCTGATATCACCAAGGAAACCAAAAATAATGTAAGTTGTAAAAAACTAAATCAAAGATTGTTAAGTTTTTTTCTCTCCAAAAGCTGACCAAGAGTAATTTGTATATTAACATTTAGCAATGTAATGAAGAATTCGAGCTGTTTCTGTTTACTTGATAAGTCACTTCATTATAACTTTTCCACCTTGATGTTTTTAAATAAAGATTGCCTTTGATGGATTATACTTTTTCAAAATATACCTTCTATATATAAGTTAAACACAAAGTGAAAACTCCAAGTTTTGAAAGTTATTAGGTAGGTTAAAATAAATGTACTTATCTTGTCGCTTCTCTTTGACTTGAAATATTATTTATGTTCTCTGATTTATTTAAGAAATTTTAATGTTGATTAACTAGGTACTGTTAATTAGATTTTTTTTGTTTATTTATATATTATTATTGTTATAGATGGATCACTATTCTTCTTACACTGGAGTCCAGTATTCTCCCTTGGATATGGCTGAATATGTTTTCTGGACTGGTGACGAACGAGGGGTTACAACTGCTATTGAAGATTTCTTGCAGGAAGGAATGGTAGGTTTAAATAGCTTTTCTGTGATTTATGTTCGTATTTTAGAACTCTGTAACCAAATAGAGGTACTATTTGGTTACAGAGTTCTAAAATACGAACCCGCGATACTTTATTACTATGTGTAACCAAGCAAAACCCAATAAACTGACAGCAAATTATTGGGTTTTGCTTAGTTTATTACCTATCTCATGAATAAAACTAGTTTTTACGGGTTAATGCACGAAACTTTATTTATTTATTGACGTTTCTATCTCATGAATTAAAAAGGTCTTGTTACGAGATGTACCGACTTTTTCGCCCAACAGACTTGTAAAATAGTACGTCATCTTTTGTTCGCGAGGACTCAGACTTCCGACTTGCATACACTTCACTCGTTTATGTAATAATAAGTATCATCAAAGTTTTCTATTCAAAAAATCCGTCGCCCGCGCGGGGATTGCCACTGCAGGCAAATGGGAATAAAAATCTGAATGTTTATTCCCAGTCGCCTCGCGGAGACCGCCACCAAAGGCAAAGAGGAATGAAGTCATTGCCCGCACTTTATTTTTTTATTCCCATTTGCCTCATGTGGCAATCCCCTCGGGGGCGACTGGGAATATTCGAAAAAATAGTAATGCTCAAGATTACAGAAATTAAATCCTTTTTTAACAACGCAAATGGAGGACATTTTCTTATGGGATGGAAATCGTACCAATTTAAAAGTTATTAAGTCAGTATTAATATTTGGTGATGAATATTGTTTGTTTCAGATGTCAAAGGAAGAAGCCATCGCTTTTCTTCAAGAGATCAAGTTTAACATCGACTATCTGCGAGCTCACTACTCACAGAACCTCAAAGCGGCAGAAGAAAGCGCACAACAAGAACAACTTCGATCTTTGCTGATGCAACAAGCCAGTGCTAAGGTGAGACTTTAGTAAATCTAAAGAAAATTTTACTAGAAAAAAAAATGCACGCGGTCGAGGCAATCCGGGCGGCTATAGGTTCGCCTGTCCGCCCAGATTGCTGACTAATAAAATTTTCTGTAGATTAAAAAAGGGCCTCGTTCACCATCTCTGAGTAAAGTTCTGATTAGTTACTTCCCAATTAACAGTACTCAGCAAGTAAAACTAAAAAGTGTAATTTTTCAATTTCACATGCAAAAACGAAGTTCCGAGTAGCTACTCAGCGGTTAAAAGATTGATGTCGGCGAATCGTTCATTCATTTAAAAAAATTCACTCATTTCGTTGTCATTAACGTCAAACTAATGTCACTGTCAGAAATTCTGTTGTGTCGGTGTCGTGTTGTTGTTGATTTCTCGTGGTGTATTTTCCTCAATATATTTTGCGTTTCGAGTTGTGTTTTGTTTATAGGTTAGGAAGGAAGTTTTTTTACAGACATCTAGGTATTAAATCTAATATAGACAGTTTTATCATCACTCACCTTTGAGCCTTGGTTATTATATTGTGCTTAATTAGATTATGCACATGATTAACTGCATTTTTAGATAACCGAAATCGAGCAAAAAATTCTTGATCATCAAATTTCGAAAAATAGGTAATCGACACGGACATTATAAACTCGAATCCGCGGAATTCTTTGTAAAGAATAATAGTCGTCTTCTAACTCATCAATTTGGTGCTCTATGAAATCAAATAAATCCATTATTTTCTTAGTAACGTATCGAAATAGCTTAAATTCTCACAGAAGCTACCAAATACAATTCTCTTATTCGACAATTAAAATAGTTACTCGCCAGTCGAAGTTAAAAATAAGTTATAGGCTACTTTAACCATTGATTAGCGTTCCTCGAAGATCGTGAAATTCGAGATAAGTTTTACTTACGACTTTATGTGACGGATAGTCTACTCGACACTTTACTCAGAGATGGTGAACGAGGCCCTTATAAATCTATTTATAAATGCTCAATAAACTTTTTGCCAAGAACTGAAAACCGACTTCATAAAACAAAACCATTTAAATGTAAGAAATAATGCATACTCTTTACTTATTTCTACATTTAAAGTCAAATTATCATTTGGAGTCGGTGCTATGTAGGTATATTGAAAGATCTGTGTTGCCAGTTACTGCTTGGGTTGACATGGCGACGACTCCAAAAGTTAATTTGACTTTAAATTATATGGGACCATCTCGCTAAAAAACTCTTCCAAATAAAACAAAAATCAAAATTGAGTTATTCGTCTATTTGTAAGAATTATACCCCCTTATTAATAAACAAGGAGTAAGCTTAGACTAGTTACGCCGTGTTTTGTTCAAATCACTCAAGTGCCATTTGTCATTCAATGAACGGAGACAAATCATGGAGTAACTAATCCAAGCTTAGTCTTCGTTTATTAATACGGGGGATATGGTTTTCTCATGGACTTTATTACCAAAACTGTGCCAGAAAGTACCAGCTTTCAAATAAAAAAAAGAATCATCAAAATCGGTTCACCCAGTCGAAGTTCTGAGGTAACAAACAAAAAAAAACAGTCGAAATGAGATCCTCCTCCTTTTTTTGAAGTCGGTTGATAAAAATATAATAAGACTTTAGTATATTTTAAAGTCTGGATGAACTATATTATCTATCTTATATAAAACTTATTATTTAATAGATTTATTTTTATGTAAAACACCTATACGGCTCATGCGAGAGAAGAAACCGTCTCCAGAGACCCATCAATCTGCATACCAAAATTCATCATAATAAATACAACGGTTTAGGGATGAAAGCGTAACAAAGTACATTCATAACATAACGATAGAGTTATTTATATTTTAATTTGGTCTTGATTTTTTTTATATTAAAGCTCATTGCTTTGTAAACAAGGGGGGCTTTATTTTTGGTAATACCTATAGTAGCTCTAAGTTATGTTTATTTAAAAGTAACTTGTCCCGGTCCGTAGAAATTACTTTATTGTGTGTCGATTCATAACCTTAAACAAACCCTATTTTGATTAATTTCACTCGAATAAGTTTCTCATAATATGATGTAACAGTACAAGTAGGTCAGTCATTCGATACAGCTCCATGACCTGGAGATAATCCGTAATGGGATGGATAATACACGTGTTATTCTGACCTTCTCTAATTTGCGACAAGGGAATACATCTGAAGATTTCAGGAAACATTTAGAATATATCTAACTAATAAACAATATTAGGTACACGTCTGTCGTCTGATACCTCTCGACACTTAAACCGCTAAACAGAATTAGTTGAAGAATATAGGATAGTTTTATCCCAGAAATCATCCTTTAAAGGTATGATATGGGAATGAAAATTTGTATGGGAAACCATTTTTTCCAAGTAGACGAAGTCGCAGACACTCACTAGTAATATATAAAAATACATCAGATGAATTTGGGTAGGTACGTACTTAATGTCGCAGTCTCGCAGTTTACCTGAATGAAAACGAACGAATAAATATTTTTTGTATGTATATCAGCAATCCATAGTCTTCAAGCAGAGTGAATCTGTTTTATTGACTGACTCTATACATATAGGCTTATTTTACGCTCTACATTACATACAAGAATGAATTTGCTCTACAAAAGAACATTGTTAAATTCGACCTATTTATGGAATAAGCTAATAGAGCTTAGTAAGTAAAATCTGTTTTTCTCTGACTTAATAGGTTATTATCACAGAAATAAATTATTTCTATGGTTATTATATGTAAATAAAAAATTGGAATATTAAGAATAGTAAGTACAAGAAATATTTGAACTTTCTAATTACCTAAGTTACCAATTTATATAACAAACTACGATATGAATTGACATGGGAGAATATAATCACTTTATTAAGGAAGATAATTAAGGATTTATGATCGAATTTCTTTAACGACGGTCCTAGGAACCTTCATGGTTTAGTCGTAAAGACAAGAATAGCAAGAAGACATCATAAAAATATATTGTACTTACTTATGCTATAAAAGCCCTTCATCCAGTTGATTTTTAACGTAGGTACCTACTTATGATTACTTAGCTAGAACTCGGGCCCTTGCGTGCGATGAGAAGGAGAGGGAACTCACGCAGGAGCCCGAGACCGCAAAAACATAACACAAATAGAATAAACTGAAAATCCTTTTGTTCCACAAAGCATGTACAATAGATAATAAGTGAAAAAAAAAAGAAAGAAAAAAAAAAGCGTATACATATAATAGAATATTCATTAAAAAGGGGATGGACAATATGTCCAAATTATATTTTTAATATTATTAGTTAAGTAGACATAAGTGAGCATGCCGCATGTTTGCATGATTAAATATAAAAGGCCGCACTGAGTGCACAAACAAATGTATATAACAAAACTTAAAAAAGTCAAACTAAATAATGGCATGGGCATAAGCCTACGCAGTAATTGTATTCAAAAAAAAAAAAAAAACTTCGCTAGATGATATACTTATTGAAGTGGCTATGTTCACAAACCTTGAAAGGCATATTATGCGATGAAGGTAAGAAAAATAGTCAAACTTACAGTTATTTCTTATTTAGGCACAATAAGTATTCAATACCTACGTTTTGATTAATAGAGCACATTACATACTAATTATATTATATTATATTAATAAATTTTATTAATGTGCGCGCACAACTCCGATTAACGTAGGTCAATTTCGGGAGAGTGTAGACCTATTTCGGTGATTCTTTTATAGTTTGAATCAGTTTTTGCGGACATGATTCCACGTAAATTCGATGAAATTCTGATCTAAAGGTACTTTCTGAGATTTACAATGGAACTCACGTGACAAACAAAAACATTGGTAGTAACAGATGAAGCAGAGAATGCTGGCTAGATACCAATACTTACCTAATTAGCTGATGTTGATGTGACCTATAAAAAGTAAAAAGGACTATTGTGAACAAAAATAAAACCAAGTTTATAAAAAAATATAACATAGCTTTTCAATTTGGAATAGGTGCCATGCGTATAATAGTTCGAGTTAGTTGACGCCACAGAACCCAGAAAGAGGATAGAAGGGATCATATGCCGTTTGAACGGAAACTGATGTCGCCGGCTCGCCCCATTACACTTCCACCTAATAGATAATAGCCAATCAAACTACGCGACATCAAACAATCGAACCAATCAGCGCTCATACCCGAGAGCAATGACGCAATCAGAACCGAGTTTTGGTCAAGTTATGGGCATCTGCTCACACATAACTGTGGCGAGCCTGCCTGACCCACAAGGGCATTCTAACTTCTTTTTGAATTGTGTAGTTGACGCGGATAGCATAATCGTCGTATCGTGGACGCCAACCGATGCAAGAAACCCGCCTAGTAGGCTGACGAAATAAAACCTTCGTCTAATAGTTACAATTAATTTTCTATCCCATTTCAGGATTACCAGCAATATCACAACGCGGCGGGTCTCCAGTCGTTCCCGTTCGGCAATAGTCCCGACATAATCAGGTCCATCGCCAGCAAGAACTGGGAGCTGAGCAACAACCTGTCCCCTGTGCCCGTGCTGCCAATCAGCTCGGACATGCGACCCGAACCTGCTAAGAGATACGATCCAATGCTGCAGACTAACATCATCGGTAAGTATGATTACCCATCTGAAGTATCAGTGATATTCATAATGATGGCGTGAATCAAAAGATACAGTTCCACATTAAATCGAAGTGTATGGAAGGTATTCCAGGTTTTCTTAAATCATGTGTGACTAATTTTGTATAGTTTATTTTAGCCTTATCATGTACATCTGAAATTGGTGGGCGTTGTGATGCCTAAGAATGTTAAAGAAGAAGATACTCATTGCTCTTTTTAGAAAAGTTACAACTTTTATAAAATTTTCCTTAAATTTTATTTATTACCTGTAAACAAAATTAGGTACCTATAGAATAAATGTGGCGTTGAATTTTTTCCCACGATGATATAATAACGTACTCAACCTCACAACATCGCGAAATATTAAATATACTTCTGTATAATTTTAGGCACATCAGACTACGATCGTGATGGACCAATCATCAGTGAGGAAGAGTACGAAGAAATGATGGACAAATTGAAGGCTGCAGACACTCTTTATACTGAGTATACCTTGGAGGAGATCATATACCAATTGGCAAAGGTAGAGTCAATAATAATTGAAGCGTTAAACTACGATGACATAAATAAATGTGGATAAGTAGTCTGTACTACATTTTTTTAGTGTCAGATGCTCTATTTTTGAATCACTCGTCTTGCGTCGAACGCTCGATTTCTACTAAATTTCATTCGACATAATTAATTCCGTATTTTTGAATCGCTCGAGTGCAACGAATGGGTGAGTGAGACCACTCGCTGCATGGCGAACGGTGGAGGCGAATAATAGAATAATTATCAATTTTTTTGTGCTATTAGACGACGATAATCTATCATTGTCATGCTTTATATGAAACGACAACGAGAATTATTTGTTCGGTTTTCATTGCGGTAATTACCGGTTTTTATTTTTTCTACGTGAAATGAGTAAAATTTCATATTTCGTAATAAACAGGTAAGTCTGGTTACGAATGATTCAAAAATACGGAAAATCAGTATTATGCGTCTTGAAAGTCGAAGGTGACTTATGTCGCATTCGACGATACTATGTCAGACGAGTGATTCAAAAATAGAACTCATGATCAGGAGTCATAAATTATTGATGACCTTTTATAAATTTCGAAAAGTTTAGAAAAATGCGATTGATTCATACGGTATCACTCGCACATTGTCCACCACATGGAGCTCTGCCACCTTCTTATCGGCAGAAACACAACACCGCCTAAGGATAGTGTTATTTCACTGTGGTTATCTGCAAGGTGGAGATTACTTTCCCAGGCGGCACTACAATTCAAAAAGATCATCCGCTATTCAATAAATAGGCAATAAGTGATATTATTATTATAAATACAAGATATAAAGTTTCCTTGTACAAATACTTGTACTTTGATGTTACCCTGTACAAAATGTTGGTTCACCAAGAGAAAGCTGCTAGGTAGAAAACCTGTTGAACTTTTCAAGAGTTATTTTGTATATGCAGTAGTTATATTTTACTAATTAGATAAATAAATATTTTCAACACTTACACCAATTAGCCTAGCCCCAAAGTAAGCACTGTAAGGCTTGTGTTATAGAATACTAGGGTAACGGATAGAATACATATACTGTAAATATATAAGTATATTTATATACAAATATATAATAAACATCCATGACTGGAGTACAAATGCTCGTATTCATCACACAAACATCTGCCCCCACCGGGATTCGAACCCGGGACCTCTCGAGTCGGCGACACCATGAAAACCGGCATACAAACCACTCGACCACGGAGGTCGCCAAGAATTTTATACTTCCAATTTGAGTATATGTATTTTTCATTTAATTTTAGATGATGTTCTCGCAGTCGTTGAGCAGGGACCCAGCGTCGGCGCGCGCCGCCACTCAGCGTTTCATGGCATTTCTAGAACTGGAGGCTGAGCGAGGACAGCTCTCACGCACTATTGAGAAGAAAGTGCTCGGTAAACATCATCATCATCGTCAGCCTATTAATATCCCCACTGAAGGGGCACATCTTTCCCTATGGAGGAAATAGAGAGTCTGGGACATTACCCACCACGCCGGTTCAGTGTGGATTTGTGGGTGCTAACGACTGCAGATGCAGCCGAGGCCAACGGCTTTACGTGCTTTCCAAAGCACGGAGGAGCTCGAGATAAAAAGTTTTTAGACACCCGGTCTCCCAAGTTTTCAGTAAACACACCTACTAAAATATATAAGAGATTCACACAAATCAATATAACATGTTCCAATCCCATCTATAGATATACTTATATTAAAAATGCGAAAGTGTGTCTGTCTGTTACCTACATCTTCACGTTTAAACTAATTTTAATGTTTGGGCATAGAGGTAGTTTGGCTCCCGGGAAAGGACATAGGATAGGAGTTTTTATCCCAGAAACCAACCTTTATGGGGGTGAAAAGGGTGAAAGTTTGTATGGGAAGCCAATTTTTCTACTTATTGTAAGGCACGGGTACCCATTAGTTTTAAATAGATTTAAAATCCTCTTGATAAAAGGGAAAGCAACTCCGATGGTTCTATCATTTTAAAATATGAAAGAAGTACTCGGCTATATATTTATAGTCTTTTATAAAATTACTAGCTGACCTGGCGAACTTGGTTCCGCTTAGAATATCTTTTTTTCCATATATTGCGACTATAATTTGAGATGTAAGCTAATATTTCAAGTTGGATCAAACTGCACATGGTGTGCAAATTTGATTAAAATCGGTTAACTAGTTTAGGAGTCCATCCCGGACAAACAACGTGACGCATAATAATTTATATATATTAAGATAAGATTTGTCTAACATATGTACCTACATATGTTAGTTACTATAAACAATCTCACTAACACCTTGTTTCTAGTAAGTACAATTCACTTAACCTGTCTGTAACTAAATTTAAAAAGAGACAACATTAAGAAGGTATGTCCTAATCATACATGCTCTATAGAGAAAGAGAAGAAAAATACACTGTTACAAATTTTAGTTTTAAGTTGTTTTTAAGTTTAATGCTGTCATAATGTTTTACTATCAGTACCGATTAAGGTTTAAGATTACCTTTTTTTTCAGACGTGATGATTGCTGCTCTTACTGATACTATAGGAGACCACCCTGAATTATTACAGACGCGCGAAGGACTCGGAGGCAGTTCTGCCAATAGGTATTGTTTGTAGTGCTTTTTGCTGATTTAATATTTTTCTTGGCCTTGTGAATGACTCCACTACACCTCATGTTAAGTGTAAGTAGGGAAAGATAGTGAAGATTGTTGAAGATTAAAGCATCTCGCTTTATCGGCCTGAACTTTATTCTATAACCTGTAGAGATCTTTTTATATGTATTATATCCTTACGAAAGTACTCTAACGAATCATAATCATAGTAGGAATAATGCACAACAAAATAATGATATTGATTAGCTGCAGTATCCACTAAGGCTAAGAATATTTTTAAGGCCAAGGATATTACTTACTAGTCTATAGGTAGACCGCTTAACTGAGTCCTCGCCTGCGGGGTAGAGGATGTGGGGGAGGATGAAAATGGGGATCGAGAGAGATGCTGGCGGCGGGCACATTCTTGTCAAAATTGCAAACGCCCGCCGCCCGCACCTCTCACGGTCCTCGTTCTCGTACTCCCCCACACCCTGTATCCCGCAGGCAACGTCCCGATTTTTAAATCAAAATTAAATGTCCCGCGCAGGACAGGCTCAATCCCGCTTTTCGGCAATAACTCGACCATGCGTGCAGCGTACTGAGATATTTTTACTAGGTACCTATCTATTGTCACGTAAACGTTATTTGAACTCAAAAGATATATATTCAAAAACTTTTGATTATATACGTTTTTTTATTAGCCCGCTTTTTTCACTCAAAAGGTTAATAAATTTCGACTTGGCAAAAAAAAACTGGCAACGCTGCCCGCAGGCAAGCACTCAGTTAAGCGGTTTACCTTTAATCAAATCAATGCGTGATTTCACACTTAAAATCCGAACATTATAGTAATTTGCGGGATATATTTTGAGTCCCCAATTTTTCAGCACTGCTGCAAGTGCCATGATCACACACAATCTCGCCAATAGCTATAATGTAAATACTCTGAAAGTTTGAAACAATATTAAATCTCAACAACTATTATTACAACTTTGCAGACTAATGCGCCAATTCCTGGAGGCGTCATCATCTGAGCCGAGTATGTCCCGAGCAATCCTCGCCGCTTACAAAGACGAACTACTGAAAGGTCCACCGCTCCACAAACTTTCCTTCCCCGAAAGGAACTAAAATTAACAAACTACTGCTAGCAAAAACTAATACTTAGTAACAAGCGACCGGCTGCTCCGCGTTACATCTAATCGTAAAAGCTTTGCAGGAAAATTTAAGCATTCAAAATTAAGAAGGGGAACTTTTGCGTTAGATCAAATTTTCTCTCTTGGTTTAAGTGCATAAAATACATAAATAGAGGCTCAGAATTTCATCAGTCCTATTTTGAAATCATTTTATTTCGAATACCAATTTGATCGCAAAAATTGTTACAATGAAAGTTGTTTTACTTTGTCTCTAAAACTAAATGAAGTGTTAGTATTTTATTCAATATTAGGTAGGTACATCAACGGAATGGAATAATTATTGACATGGTTAACAGGTTTCCACCAAAACTAAAAAAATTAAAGCATTTTATTTGTGTCTATCTTTTAACTGGACTGTATGGACAGGACATAGAATGAGTTTCATTGTATAAATCACTACAAAAAAACTAAAAAGAAGACCTTAGAAATCGGTGATCTAATTGTGTAAGTAATTGAATTCGCCTTATGCCTTAGTTTTGTTACTTTTCTCTACCTTTTAAGGGGATAGCGTGGGAATAAAGACAATTATAAGACAGAGAATCATGCCAGAATGGACACCTATGGCTACTTATTTAATCTGTCGATTTATCATTAGGTACAACATTTATATAATTGATTTATTATTAAATTGGTATCTCTTGGCTGGCTAATGCTAATTAACTCAAGGTATAGACATGACACTTGCTTGGTGTAGTGATAAGAGTAAAAGGCTGTATGGTACATATAAGTATATATCGGAAAAGTTACTGTCATAAAGTTAGCGAAGGATATTTCTGTGTCATGTCTATACGACGTATATAGATTTTGTACACAAACATAATCTGGTAGAAAAAATCTTACTTGTACGTTGTAAGGAAGTTAATGCAACTTCCAGTACTGAGGCCGAATTGTGTCGCTTTTTCATTTCATAGTTGGGAAAAAGATATGGTTATGTCGATAGAAAATAGATTTCATTGTGTTGAAGGGGGACATTAAAGAGGTAAAATTGGACAAAGTGGCCCTCTGGTTCCACTCAAAATGATTCGTTTCGAATGAATCGTTTGAAAACTTAAAATTTTCAAAGCCCTATTTCTCATGAGCTTGTTAAGCCTTGCACCTCCGTATTTTATCTATCCCTTGGCATGGCACTGAAGACCCGTGCTAGCATTTATGAAATATTATGCTTTGTCGGTATGGTATTTATGAAAGCACTGTTTACCTTTAGAGTACCTGGGGCTTTGGGCAACTTTGGGATATGCGGAAGAAGAAACCCACCGGGATCTCAGTCACTATACATACTGTCTCGACTAGCGGTCCTTAGACTATATTTGTCGGTCGTATGCACCATGCAACCTGCGTTACAGGGATTTGTTGCCAACAAAATATTTTGTTTGCAACAAAGGGATTTGTTGCAAAAAAATAATGCGTGATTTTGTAGAAGGCAATAATGCAATATTTCTTCCCGTCATCAAAAAAAAGGTAAACAGACATTTACTTATCACTTGTTACGTATCATCACAAAAAGTATACTGACAAATACAACATTTGTTAAGTAATATTTTAAAATGATTTATTGCATATAAATGGATTTACAAGTTTAGCTAGAGGTAAGGTATCTACTTCCTACTTGCCTATAAGTATTATTCTACAATACTTACTGCAGTAATAAATGTGATCCATTTTGTAGGTTCTACAAAGTACCTACATATATTTTAATTAATTCGGGTTTTTATTCGTGATCACCATAATAAGAATTGCTTTATGGTATTGCTTTTATACGCTTAAATATTAAAGGCTTGCTTCATGTTATGCCTAGGAGTAAAAATATTATTTAATTTCAGAGTATTCCATTATTATTAAATAGATATATTATTTAATGTCGTAAACACAGGTCATTTAAAGTTAGTAGTTAATTAATTCGATGGATTACCTATAGATTTAGTAAACGTTACTGGCATGAACAATACCTTTTACAGCTTGAGTAGTAGAAAGATTAAAGCAAAGAAAAAGTATATTTGAAACTGGTACTAAAATGCCTTTCAGAAGCATTTTCCTGACTTAAAGGAAAAAGGTTTAAAAATCTATTTATGGTATATAAGTGTACAAGTACTCTAATAGGTAGTATTACCAAGATTTTTAACTTTTCGTTTCATATTAATCAGTTCGCACTGAGATCGTAGAAGTTAACCAACTTTCGAAATGGTCGGTCATTGAATGGGTGACCAAAAACTTATTATCTCGAGACTTACCGTTCGGTTGGTTAGCACATTAAGGGAATGCCTGTGCCCCTGCAGAGGGGATATCAATAGGCTAGTGATGAGGTGGCAGTTACGCGTTGCGTATGATTTTTTTTATGAAATTATTAACATTCATGTCTAGTAGGTATGGTTTTTAAGTTACTGGCGGAAGAGACATGCACATAACCATGATCACCCTTACCTAAAAAAATCTTTAAACGTTAAGTTTGTGGATAGATCATAGTAAGTTTTTTTTTATGTTTTAAGCGCGATGCAGTTTTCTTAAAAACATTCCATAGTATTGTTACTTCCTTCTTCTAGCTATAATTATAATAACAACAAAGTATACATACCAGATTTAAAAAAAAATGATTTAAAATATTTTTTTAAAGTGGTCCATGCATAATGCAACCTTTTAGAATCGACCAAGTATTTTTATTCTCTACGTCCTTAAGGACGTAAGGACTACTTTTAGTTTTTGTTGTTACTTGATCACCCATTCCTAAATATATTTTCATTGAAATTAATTAGATAGGTAGTCCTTTAAGTCTATATTTTAAGCATATGGTATATTTACATGTAGTACAAATATTTTATGGGAATTTTGTGTTAAATTAGGACACAGCTTTTAAAACAATATTGTAACATTATCTCAATGTAGTGCTACTACTTCTATATAACAGTATTTACTATGACAAAAAAACTTTATATACGAATAGTTTAATCACGTTATCCATTAAAGCGATAAAAATATGATAAGGAATTAATAAAGTACCTATATATGAATAGCTAGTCAAATATTTCTTAATATTTTTCTACCAAAACTTTTCATATGTAGTGATGTACATTTTTGCGTAGATACCATTAACTCGTTATACCTATATCAAAAAAATAAAGTGTCTTCCTAACATTCTTATCAATAAAAATAAGGTTTCTCGTTAAGCCCTTAATAGTTTACCAATATTATGCATATCAAATGGAAATATCCGAATATCCAACATACTCATCCTAAGATTTTACCTTAAGATCATCCATCTATAATATTTTTTATGTGAAAAGAGCATTTTTGGTCCAAATTCTTTTACCGCGTTATCTTTTAGTATAAGTTCAAAGTTCGTCAGTTTCAGTGAGTTTGTCACTGAAAGTTACAACCATCAAAGGTCCAATCTTAACTGGGTTTGTTTTATAAGTAAGATAATACAGCCTAGTTTTACTCGGCAGTTTTTAATTATCCCCATCGTAAATGTGTATACAATTTTGCATGACATCACAAAAATTTGAGAATTGATTAGCGTTCTGAATTATTGTGATCCTCCGTCTCCGGCGTTTCCACAATACTTCAGATTTTGGAAAGGAGACGGGCAGCAAGGAGGCGACCCTTTTCCAAAATATGAAGTATTGCGGAAAGGAGACGCCTCTTTGCCGCATGAAGTTGTGTCACGCACGTCGTTCATCATCAGTTTTTTATTTTCAGGTTTCTTAAAACTCCAAAAACAACCAGTATATTGGTACCATTTACTCGTAATATGGTACCAATATAATGGTCAATAATTTTACTGTCGTGTTTTATTATGAAAGAATCATACTATGGAAAGAAAGCAAAATGTACATCACTCATCTCTTTCGATTTTTCAACTTCATACTAATACTATCCCTGTGTATTTTATAAAAGGCATTGCTGTATAAATAGATTAGATTGTGTCTTTCTATTAGAATCACAGACATTTTATCTCTAAGACAGAACTCTATGTGGCATTGTTAAATAATGCAATGTTAGTGATTGGCAAAATTTATTATATTTGTATTATTCTTTGAAATATATTGTGGATTTAATAAAAAAGTTTAATGTGATTTGTGTTTTATTTTGACCTTATAAATAAACAATTACAAGTAAAAATTGTCTTAAATCTACTTAAATCAATTAATTAACACAAACTTGTTAAAGGCGGGAAAGCATTTTGTTTACTAACAACAACTTTTTGATGCTGGTAAGATATGTATCCTTTTATTTTACCATCATAAATCAGGTTGGCAACAATGCATTGAGTTTCTGCCGCATCAACATCATCATGACCCATGATCTGTAAAGCTGCTTGGAAACTTGCTATGTCTATCTGATGAGAGTTTTCAGCTAAATAAACCTTTTTAAATAAATTTCTGTATGCCGAAATCTTCAGTTTTTCTACAATCAAATATATGCCAGCTTGTATAAAGAAGCTTTCAAACTCTTCCATTACTTTATCAATTCCTCTCAAGTTTCCATCTTTTACAGCACAAGCTAAATCCCAAAACAAAGCCAAGTCATACTTATATAAAACTTTCTTAGTAGGCATGAAACCAAGTAGCATTTTAACTGGCACTAAATATGTCAGTATTTGCCTCTTGTTTTTGAAACTATGTCTGTGACAATTTTGAAATGCAAATGACAAAAATTCATCTGCAGCATGGTAATCAGAATCAAACATTGCCTTGCGGCCCACAAAGTATCTGTATGTAATGCGTTGTGCCAATGGAAACGGTTCTTTTAAATTTGTTGAATCAATTGCCCTTATAAGAGGTTTGCACAAGTGTATTTTATTAATGCGAAAATAAACCTTCAGCAATTGGTTTACAATAGTCAGCATTCCAATTTTTTTCGAGTATGGTTCAGATGATCTGTTGTCTCCCACACATACTCTAAAGCCAGCTAATAGACTCTCAGCAGCTTTTTCTAGAATTTTTCCATTGCTAGCTAAAATACAAGATTAAGTCAAATTATATTTATTCTTAGCTAGGTAAACCTATATTTATCTTTTTAAAGAACAGTAGAAAAAGAAGAATGTTTTCAGGGTTCAGGAATGTATGAATGTTTATTCCATTCAATTAATTCCTGAACAGATTTAGATTTACGAGGCATATCCAGAAAGTAAGTGTACTGAATTTTTATAGGTTACAATTTTTTTATTGAAACAATAAAGTGAAAAACATGGTAACCGTAGTACATAAGTAAGCTATTTTTCGACATAGTCGCCATTCCTCTCAATGCAGGTGGTGAAGCGGGGTATCAACTTTTTGATGCCTTCCTCGAAGTAGTTTCCTGCCAACCCCTTCGTCCACTTCTCCACCTCCTCCTTTACCACCTCGTCGGTTGAAAACCTTTTTCCACCCCTGTGCAGCTTCAGGGAGGTAAAGAGATAATAATCTAAAGGAATTCATCTCCATGGAGTTTGAAGCGCTTCAGAATACTTGTCCGGCTTCTACTCGATTAAACTTGTGTTGGTCTTTCGGCTGTTTTGGGACCCACCTCGCTGACAGTTTCCGGTATCCGACGGTGTCTGTGATGGTTTCGTGTAGTAGAGATCTGGAGATTTGCGGAAACATCGCAGAAAGTTCATCCACGTTAATCTGCGATCGTCACGGAGCGTTTTTTCGATTTTTTCAGTCACAATTGAAGGTCTTCCGCTCCTCTGATCATCATGCACAGACGTACGACCGTTTTTAAATTCGTGATACCACTTGTGCATACTCGAACGATTCATAGCTTTATCACCATACGCAGTTTTTACCTCATTATAAACCTCTACCGGACTTTTTCCCTTCCAAACGAGATAACGGATGACGCCGCGTATTTCGCCCTCGGCGGGAGATTGGATTAACATTTTTCACGAAAAGTGTTGTCCTATCGACACTTCTCAACGTACTTACTTTGAAACCGGTCCCGTTGCGGAGGCGAAGAGTAGCCAACATGTCGAAAACAAAATTCATTTGGTTGTGAAAGCCTCAGTACACTTACTTTCTGGATACGTATATGGTATCTCTTTTTGTGAGCACATTACAAAACTATATTATTCAAAAATATACAACTGGAAGGGAAGTCACGTTTTATTTTATTTATTTGAATTATAAGTTTTCTAAGATTTTCATATAGTGGTGAATTTGATAGAAATACAGTTGAAACCGGATATAACGACATTGAAGGGACCATATAACTTCGGACGGCATGTCCTATAGTTGTTATAAGCAATAGACACAAATAGTCATATTAATTGTCATTTGTATGTTTGAAGTATGGGTATAGTTAATGCATACTTATGAATTTATAATATATAAAATTTCGAAAAAACAAGTAAAAATGTATAATGTAAATTTTTCAAGTACCTACACAATACCCAGAGTATGTTTTGTTTCACTAGAACAAGTAAAGCGGTTGGTCATTATCTACTATATAAAAATAAGTTGGGTTTTCCTTCCTGACGCTATAACTCCAGAACGCACGAACCGATTTCCACGGTTTTGCATTCGTTGGAAAGGTCTCAGGCTCCGTGAGGTTTATAGCAAAGAAAATTCAGGAAAAATTTCAAAAAAAAAAATCTTCTTTTAATCACCAAACGAAATGTTACATAAAACGAAGCCATCTGATGGTGAAACGGAGTTCGCCTGGTTTGCTAGTAGCTGATGAATATTGATATTAAGTATATCAATATTTATCAGCTATAAGTTGTTATAAGCGATATGACGCTATATCCGGTGTTGTCATAGGCAGTTTTTTACTTAAAGGTTTATATAGGGTTTCGGCCGGGACCTTACCAATTGATCATAATAACCCTCGAGTTATGAACGATGTCGTTATATTCGGTTTTAACTGTATTTTGTATTTTTTAATGTACCTAATATAATTAATACTCACGGTATGTAGCTTCAGCTTTTTGAGCAACAAGTCTCAGATCTAAACTGACAGTATAAAGAAGTGGAAGATTCCAGTTGTCTCCTTGCTGAGCTTGGATCAATTTCACAACACTAGCCACACATGAACTTTGACGTTCATATGCTTGTTCATACTCCTTCATGCACAAAGCCTAAAACATTATTATAGAGTAACTTGAAGAATATATTCTAAACAAGTACCTGATATTGGAGACCAGTCTGCATTGGTTCTCAATAATGCAACCAAATAAGTTGCATGAATTTGCCAACAATATTAAACACCCTAGATACACCATGTACACTCAAAATGTGTCCACATCAAGAAGTGCTTGAACACCACTCAATCACTTCTTGGTGCACAGTCACGTATGGACCGTTGAAAAGTCAAGTTGCCACGGAGCTCTGTGAAAAAATGTGAAAAAAAATATTTATTGTATGTAAAGTGTTGTTTTTTCGACAGGCACCTAATCAATGTTTCTTAATTTCATGCATTTCAAGCAAATTTTGTTTTAATACATACTATAAACTGATTTAAAATATTTTTTTTGTGATATTCAAATGCATGGTTGTAATATAGGTAGCTAATTCTTTTTCTCATGGTCCGTACTTGCTATATTGCTAACAGCGCATTCAGAATTGCACATAGAGTCAAAGAAATAAGGTCTAAATTCTTCCGCATATAGCAATAAGTCATACAATTTTACAAGCTTGCATAATATCAAACTGTCATAACTCTCATACGTCAAGCATGCGTTTTTAATAATACCTAATACAATATACATTAAAGGTGCTTTCCAATGTTGAAGTAGTGCCTTATATATTGTTTTTGACTATGTGATCATCTTACAGAGTGCTGTGGATTGTCCAATATATGTTTTGGACAGGTCTTGGGCACAATTTAGTCCGTGTTGGTGTATCTAGAGTATTTAATATTGTTGGAATTTGCACACAATTGTGTATCAGAACACTAGATAAATGGATAACTGGAAAAATGTTATACCAGAATAATCTGTTGGCATTGCATCCTTTTTAGGCTGTATCGTCAGAATAAATGTCATCATCATCCATAATTCTGATGATGCAGCATGAAAAGTCATAAACAAATGAATCAGTGCATCTTCACCATTGAAACTTGTTTTATCCCTAGGAAATATTGAAAAGGAAATATCAAAAAATCTCTTATTTGTAACAACAGATTATTTATACAGTGTGTGTTTTATTTAATGAGTGGTTTGTGTAAAAACCTAAGAAACAAATTTTCTCTTGGGATATTTATAACTTACGGACATTCTGGTAATATAAGGATTATATGATCATCAAAAAATAGTAATGAATGCTCAAAAATACAATTGGTAACCTAATCTAACCTTCAGGTTACCGATTGTATTTTTAGGTGATAATTTTTGTAACAACCATTTAAATATTTGGTTCTTCGTAAAATAATAAGCACGACATAGACTCAATTAACAGGCATGTTTTACCTTAAACTTTTGGAAGTATGATAAAATAGGTAACACTTACCTTAGCACATAATAGGTGGTATATAATTATCTCATCCAGTGGTTCAACACAATTTCCATTAACTAGAGTGGCAATATCGCTAGATCGTAAGTTTCTATTTCCGACATGATCGTCTCTTAATGACAGCAACCGCGCTAGGATAGTGCCCTGGGAAGTTCTGAACGATCGTTCAACAAATTGAATATACTGGTTCAATGTACAAGTTGCGGTATTTGACATAATGATTGACTGAAATGTTACTACATGAAATGTATGACTATTATTGCAAAATCCTTCGAATCTTAACCATGCAGGTGATAAAACCAATTATATAAAACTTCCTCAGATAAAACAAACAGATTATAGTGTTGCCAGGTCCGATTTTTAAAAATCGGGAGGCGTTAAAGAAAAAACAGTAGATGTATGGAAACAGCTACAAGAAAAACAGTAGATGCAGAGGTGTACTTTTTCCGGTTTGCACCCCCCCCCCCCTAGAATTTATAAATCAAATCAAGATAAAGACCGACCGATTTAACATTTACATTATTAATGAGATCTCCTGTAAAATCTGGAGACCTGGCAACACTGGTCTGTATTGATATTGTCTGTCAGTCATTGTCAAATATGAGCAGTGCTGCCAACTCCAAAAAATATTTCATGCTAAATCGACGTTAAACAAATGCCAAAAATATGCTAAATTTTAAAAAAGATGCCAAAATATAATGCTAACCACTAATGTCCGGCGCGGCGGCCGCCTGTGTAGGTACCTACTACACGCACAGATGACTCGGCGCTTGCCTACTCTCCGCTTTGATCCACACTATTTAAAAACATTACAATAAAATAGTCTTAGATGCTATATTATAATTATTTATTCACTGATACACAATACCTTTGAATATTATTTCATAAAGCACAGGTAATTAATCAATAAAATAAATCTTCTGTTAGAGCAAGTAAAAATCCTATAAAGTTAGCCTGTCTGTTAGTGTAAGAACTTCTTTTTTATTGTTAATGTTAGTTGCCTCGTTTAATTAAAACTTAAGCACAAACGGCTTATTTAAAATTGGGAAAAATTATACAGAGCAAATCGGTATAACTTACGAGCTTAGTGAAGGAAGGAACTCTTCGTGTCTGATTTGCCCACGTCATGAAATACCCAACACATTTAATTACAGCCACAGTCACACACACACATAATAATATGTTGTTTTGCGGCAAGCACGGGCGGGCGGCGCGCCACACGCTGGCAACTAGCGCCGGTTGCGGCGTCTTTGATGATGTGAATTCCGCCCACCTCCCCTCTTCCCCGCACGCGGTGGTTTGCTTTGATTGCATGCAAAACGCAGTCGCAAGTATATCAATCGCGCGTGGGCGTGCGCATCTTTTGACTTAGTGACATACACTGTGATAATTTCATTATGCCTCGGTATACGAACCAAGAATATTTAGAGATGGTGTACTGCTATCGCGAGTGTGACGAAGTAGGTTTGGTTTACGAATGAGTCCCCAAACCATAGAAGTTGCATTTTGTGCAGTGAGTAGTGATAGGGACACTTTAAAAAAGGTGAAAAGACACGTCCGCAAACATGCCTACCTTTGTTTGCAGCAAAATGGTGGTTTAGAGCAACAATTTTGCAGATAGTAATTTAAGTCTCTTTTTATTGCTAGAGTAAATACTTTTTGATTAGAAACAACTAATTGTGTACTACCAGTGTGATTGATTTGATAAAAAGTTCTAGTGAAAAAAATGAATATGTTCCTCGTTCCTCGTTGTACCTACCTAAATCGCCGGTCTCGTAAGTACTTTTGAATACCTGGTTATAGCAATAAGTATTTCTTTTTGTTTAACATTTGCCTATTTCCAATCGTGACAAAATTATTATTAACTTTTAAAGTTTTTCTCTACTTAAGAGAAGATGACATTTGTGCTTATTATTTCAATTTCAATAAAGGCATCTAAGACGATTTTATTGTATTGTGTGGAATGAAACGAGTCAGCTGAGCTCTGTGTAGAGGTAGGTACCTACTCACTCAACGGCTGGCGGGCGCGGTCGGTCGTTGACCCGCGGTGGAATTTTAATGTTTTTCCGTTTTTTAGAAGTGCTTATTTATTAGTTGTTTTTCACTGGATATGTAAGTTTGTTTGTTTAAAATGAATAACTACTCAAAAGGAGGAAAGGACATAAAAATACACAAATTATAAATAAATACATGAAAAAAATATACTTCAAAAAAATCCGAAAAAAACAGGCATACTCTATACACATAACCCAACAATCTCACGAAGTTTTATAGAAACATTCAATTTCACCCTATATATAGGCGTGCGCTAAGATTTTTCAAAAACCACCCACTAAAGGGGTATAACTACACCTTACCTTACCTTACCTTACCATAAACAATAACTACTGAACAGATTGATAGTCATAGATGACATGGAGGAAGTTATAAATAACGCCTGTCTAAACTCTATGCCTATACGTAGGGGGCAACCAAAACCAAAAGCTCCATGGTGGTCAGAACGGTTAGAAGATCTAAAAACACGAACTATCCAAATACATCACAAAGTTAGCTCACACAAAAAACGGGGACTCTCCATGGAGGAGGTGCTCGAAGAACAAAGGGCGATCAAAGAGGAGTATGCTCGAGAGATGAGAGAAACCTCAACCAGGCATTTTCGAGAATTCTGCTGCCGCCAAGGCAAGGAAGACGTGTGGTCGGTTACCAACCGACTCCTAAAAACTGGGAAAGCGAGGACGGCACCTGCTACACTAAAGGTTGGCAACACCCACACCTCCAATGCGAGGGAGTCTGCGGAGGCTCTCCTCAATCACTTCTACCCCGAAGACTCTTCTGACACACGAACCAGACATCACCTTCTTAGGAATACCATAGGCGAGCTACTTAATAGCAATAATGATGAACCTTTTACACAAGCAGAAGTTCTTGAGGTGATCGGGCAAATGAACCCCAATAAGGCGCCTGGGGACGATTGCCTAACGGCAGAGATTGTTGCTGCATTCTGCCGAGAGTACCCATCGTTCATCACGAGCATATTAAACAGGTGCTTAGAGCTAAGCTACTTCCCAGCTCGTTGGAAGACGGCAGTAGTAAAGATAATCCCAAAACCCAGGAAAACAGATCACACTGCTCTTACTTCCTATAGACCTATCGGGCTTATACCAGTTTTCGGCAAGCTCTTTGAAAAGCTTGTCACTAATCGTATTGTTTTCAGAGCGGATCGCGACAATCAGTTTAGTCCGCGACAATTCGGATTCAGGACACAAAAATCAACAACTCAGGCAATTAGTACATTCATCACAGAAATAAAAAAGCGAAAAAAGGAAAAAGAACTGGTGATCGCGATCAGCTTAGATATACAAGCCGCATTTGCTAATGCGTGGTGGCCAGCGCTATTTCATAGGCTTAGACAAATTAAATGCCCACGTAACCTATATTTAGTCCTTAAAAGCTACTTCGAACAACGCACTGTCAAAGTTACTTATGGAGGAGAAATGGCAACCAAGACCATGACAAAGGGGTGCGTCCAGGGATCGGTATGTGGCCCCATAATGTGGAACCTCATCCTAGACGAATTGCTGAATCAGGTGAGCCTCCCCACCGGCTGTCACATTCAAGCCTTTGCCGATGATGTCCTCCTGGTTACCTCTGCATCAACCATCCAAGACCTGGAAATAAAAACCAACACTGCATTAAAAATCATTGATACGTGGGGAGAAGACGTCAAGCTGAACTTTGGCCCTTCCAAAACTCAGCTTGTCGCCTTTACCCCAGCGGCTAAACAGGCAAATATAACCATGACTGGTCAAACACTGAACTTCGATACCAAAATGAAATATTTAGGCATGATCATAGATGAAAAGCTTACCTTTAATGAACACTTACAATACGTTACCGATAAAGCTCTCAAACTACACAAATGCTTAAGCATCTTTACGAGAGCCACCTGGGGTCCCCATCCTGAAAATGTCCGGACTATTTACAACCAAGTGGTTGTTCCAATAGTGACATATGCCGCTGGTATTTGGGGTGAAGCGGCAAATAAGGAATACGTCCGCATCAAGCTCGACAGCCTGCAGCGACTTTTCGCGATCAAGGCCATCAGAGCTTTTAGGACCGTCTCCACTGTTGCGGCAACTGCGCTCGCCCGCATGACACCTCTGCACCTAAAGGTGAAAGAGGTCAGGCGCATTGAGCAAGTTCGCCTCATAGGAAAGACGGAAATGCTCCCGGACGACATCGAAATGGAACAGCCGACACCCAACTGCTACCGCCTCCCAATAGAATAACAGTTGAATACAAAACTGCCACCAATGACCAGGAAATCGACCGCATTTGCCCGCCAGGATCCACCCGGGTGTATACCAACGGAAGCAAGCTCGACACCGGGGAAGTGGGAGCTGCTTTCGTCGCGTGTCACCCGGAGCAGAAACACCTCCAAATTACCAGAAAATTTAAGCTACACTTCACGTGTACAGTATTTCAAGCGGAACTGCTCGCTATCCACCGAGCCTGTCAGTGGGCGCTGGGCTCCCGATCAAACGCATACACCATCCTAAGCGATAGAATGTCCTCCTTACAGGCGCTAGCTGACCGCAGCAACACAAACCCACAAGTGGCTCAGATACACCAAACCATAAACGATGCCCAAATGGCAAACAAAACTATTAATTTCATCTGGGTCAAAGCGCACGTTGGCATCAGGGGAAACGAAGAGGCCGATTGCGCTGCAAAAGCAGCTGCAACGCTGCACAGCAGATACAACTACGTAATGTTCCCCATCAGCTACGTTAAACATCAAATCAGAGAGGAAACACAAATGAAATGGACAGAAATGTACAAGGATACTGTCGGCGTTGCAGAACATACCAAAAAGTTGTGTCCTGAGCTGGGCGACGTTATATAAGTCATGGAACTATGTGGCGCTTCCTTCTGGCTGTCTCAAGTCCTCACAGGACATGGGTACCACCTGCAGTATCTATGTAGATTTAAATCATAGATAACGACACCTGTCCCTGCAATAGCGGGGCCATTCAGAGCATTGATCACCTACTGTTCGAGTGTGGTAGATATGCACGAATCAGACAGAAATATATTTCGTGCTGTGAATTTCATAAAATAGATCCACACAATGTTATAGAAAGTGCATCGAATGAGAGAACGCGAGTAGCAATGCTCGAATTCTTTGAGGGAATATTTGGAACTCTAAAGCAGTTCAACGGAACATAAATTTGAAAACATAAAAGTAAATATAGTACTATTAACTTATTATACGTATTTATAACATATATATATATTCACAAATATACTACTTATATAAATAATAAAAAACATATATAGT